ATGGCTTGGGTCAGGCACACCTTAGTCCTCAAGCTGACATCTTTGCTCTTCAACACTTTAAAAAGATTTTGTGCAGCAGATTTGTCTAATGCAATACGTCATTTGATTTTCTGACTGATGCTTCCGTGATTGTTGATAGTTGATTCAAAAAGAATGGAGTCCTTTACAACTTTAATCTTTTCTCCATTGATAAGAATGGTCCAGTGGTGAGGATTTTTGTTTTCTTTACATTGATATGTAATCCATATCGAAGGTTTGGTCTTTGATCTTCATCAGTAAATATTTTAAGCCCTCTTCACTTTCAGCAAGCAAGGCTGTATCTTCTGCATATTGCAGGTTGTTAATGAGTCTTCCTCCCATCCTGATGCCACATTATAGGTGCTTACTACATATTTGTTGAAAGATTGAATCAAAGAATAAAACTAAGTATTGTTGTTGTTGTTGTTATGTGCCATCGAGTCGGTTCCGACCCATAGCGACCCTGTATAGGGTTTCCGAGGGTGTAAATCTTTACGGGAGTAGAAAGCCTCATCTTTCTCCCGCGGAGCAGCTGGTAGTTTCGAACCGCTGACCTTAAGGTTCGCAGCCCGATTCGTAACCACTACGCTATTAGAGGGCTTCAAAAGTTTATGGAATAATGGAATTAAAAGGTAATGGATTTTTTCAGTGAACCTATTGAAGCCCTCCTCATATACGCAATACATTTTGTTATATTGAACCACCTATAAATTTTTACTGAGGATCTGTCAGACTCCGTTCTATACACTGTTCACTGTCACTGAACACCAATGAAGAAAACAAAGACTCTGAAGTTTTCATGCTATTTAGATTATAGTGTGTATCAGTACTAAGAGGGTGGGAGGGGAGTTAAGAAATCAACATAAATGTGTTCTAAAATTATAGTCGTATTTAATAATAGCTTGTGGTGACTCTCAGGTGAGTGCTATCTAGAGATGGATGTCAAGTACTTTAAATTCTAATTTTTCTCCTTGCTGTGTTTATTTGAATGTTCATTTTAAGACAAACTTTTTAATGTATAACTCCCATTTTGATATTTAAGAATATGACTGCACTTGGAAGTGATCTTTTTTAAAAAAGTTGACATTGCTTTAAAATTTGCAGATTTTAGAAACATTTGCCAATTCTTTGATTCAGAGGAATATTTTGATGAGAAGAGACATCTCCAACCTTACAAAATACCAGCTAATTCTGGCAAGAGACCAATTTAGGAAAAATCCATCTCCAGATATAGTGGTAGGTATTTATAAATACTTTGATGATAGATCAAATTTTGACTCAGAACCTGGGCGAAATGTAAATAATTTTTTTGTATATATTGAATTTTACAGTAAATGTTAGCTCACTAAGAATTCAGATATCATTTATGTAAATAAAAAAAAACCATGGAAAAACATAGCAAGAATACCATTTTATGTTTTAAATTAAGATTTATTTTTCTTTTAATTTTTAATAATGAGTTGGTCTTTTAGTCCATTTAAAGATCATAAAGTCATAGGGAGTCAGATATATCTTTTAAACCCAAAGCATTTAGTCTTCTTCTCTGTCCCACAGTATGTGACTTATTGCTAATTTTCACAAAGAAAAATAGCTACATGAACAGGAAAATGTATACCAGGCTAGGAACAAATCAAGAGAAGTTCATAAACACTCAATGGTACTTAGTCATTCTTTGAGCTGATAGGGAATGTGTGCACAATTGAATAGAGGTAATGAAACAAAGGCACGAAGGAGACATTGAGCAAACCAATCTCACTAGGGTAGAGGACTGAGGAAGTGTGGTCATTAGTGTAGGTCATGAACACATGGTACCGTGCTTTAAATGTTAGAAGAAACGTGGGCTTTATTCTGTAGTACTTGATCTGGAGGGGTGGGGAAAAGAGAGGAAACATGAGGTGAGACTTTCTGTGTAAAATGGCAGTGTATTTTATATAAAACCTTACTAACATTTATTTTAATTTCTCATAGGAGAAAGACCTTTAGGTCCATTGAAATTTCATATAGTAATTCTTAGCCTGTTGAAATTAATCTTATTGGTAAGAGCTAATATTTTGCAGGGAGGTACTTCTACTCTTTTCTGTAATTAGGGTGCCCTTTTAGGGCATCACTATCCTTGAAACGTTTAAAATAACTACTATTGAATACTTATGTTGTTGGGAGCCATTGAGTCAATTCTGACTCATAGCAACCCTATGTAACAGTATAACTCTGCATAGGGTTTTATGTAACCTTTATGCATTCAAATCACCATGTCTTTTTTCCCATGAACTGCCATGTTATTTATACAGGTTGAATGCTATTGAAAGTATAATAAAGGAAATAGCAAAATATATTCTTAGTACTTTTCTTTTAAAAAAATAAATCATGTTGTTTAGATATTACACCTGTTTTATGCTTCCAAAAGAGTTCTTCACTTTTCCATGAAAGACAGTACATAAAGTAGTGGTGAAAAGCGCAAGGCTCTAGGTCAAATTCCCTGGGTTTACATACTAGCTCTAGTACTTACCAACTGTGTGAGCTTCCTTATCTGTAAATTGGGCATGAAAGCAATACCTACCTCCTAGCAATCTTGTTAAGAAGCTCTGGTAGCGTACTGGTTACAAATCGGGCTGTGAATCTCAAGGTCAGCAGTTCAAAACTGCCAGCTGTTCCGCTATAGAAAGATGAGGCTTTCTGCTCCTGTAAAGATTTACAGCCTCGCCAGTGAGGCCTGGGATGGAGGCAGAGAAGACAACGTCAAGAGATGGTGGGGCTGGGGGCTTGGGATCAGGAGATGGAAAGGGGCTGAGGACTGTGGTGGTAGGGGGTGTGCAGGTTTACAGGGTACACTCCTTTGTTGGGTGAGGATGCATGGACAGGATGATAACTATGCCAACGAAATGATGGATGATGGAATAAATGTAAAGCTGATGTTCTCCCATGTACACTATCACACAATTCACAATAAAACATTAAAAAAAAAAAAAAAAATTTACAGCCTCGGAAACCCTGTATAGAGTTACTGTGAGTCAGAACCAACTCCACGGCACACAAGCAGCGATCTTGTTAAGATTAAATTAATTTATACAAGTATTGTGCTTAGAACACTGTCTAGTGCTCAGTGTGGTATGTATTGTTATGTACCATCAAGTTGGTACTGACTCACGGTGATTCTACGTGGTGAATACTCATAATGATTCTACCAACCTTGTTAGCATGCCAGTGCTTATCCAACAGTGGTATTTATTATTAAGTGCCATCGACTCAGTTTCAACTCATGGTGTGGCACTGTGTGTCATTGCACTGGACTGCAAGGTCGGTTTGAACTGCAAGACTGATGGTACAAGCTCACTAGCCTCTCCTCGGAAACTCTATACAGGGTCACTATGGGTTGGAACAACTCGATGGCACTTAACAACAACATCAGTAAGGGTTTCTGAGTATCAGCTGGTGAGTTTGAACCTCTAACCTTGCAGTTCAAACTGACCTTAGAGTTGAACAGTGGTATACCTGGTGTAAAATGTTGGCTAAATATTTGTCCTTATTGCTAGAAAAATTTGTGAGGACATTTTCCATTGTATTTTCCATTGTAGCCCAAATATCTATCTTGGTGCCTGATATACAATGTTTTAGTTAAATGCAGTCCAGTCAGTTCCCATCACAGTGATCCTGTATAGGGTTTTTGAGGAGTGGCTGGTGGCTTTGAACCAGTGACCTTACTATTAGCAGTTTAGTGATTATCCTATAGCACCACACCAGGACTCCAGAAATAATAGCTGCTTTCTAAATATTTTTGGCAGAACAGATGAATTTATTTACTGATAATTTACATATAAGTAGAAATAGTATGTGATGACTATTTTTCCCCATTGCTTATTCTCTTTAAAATTTGTTTTCTACTGAATTAAAGAAAAAAATAAAGATTTTTTAATGAAAAATTCATCAACACCTTACTATCTGTAATACACCGTTCAATATTATAGGCCAATTTTAAGCAGGATGTTATTGTTGTGCCCTGTCCAGTAGCAGCCCTCTATATGGTTTCTGAGGCTGTAAATGTACGGGAGCAGAAAGCCTCATCTTTCTCCTTTGGAGTGACTGGTGAATTTTAACCCGCTGACCATGCTATTAACAGCCCAACGTGTAACCCACTGCGCCTAACCCAGAGTTCCTTTTAAAGTATGTTGTTAAGTGCTGAGAAGTTGATTCTGACTCATAGTAGCGACCCATTACAGGGTTTCCAAGGATTGGATGGTGGGTTTGAATCGCTGACCTTGCAGTGTTTGTCCTACAATGCCACATGGGACTCTTTAACCAGATAGAAGGGAATAATACGTATTATAATTTCAGTTATATTGTAAATATATACTGAGGGCTAGGAGCAGATATCTTCATTTCTTTCTCTGGGTAAATTTTGTGTGTTTCTTTTTTTAGGGAATACAACAAGGCATAATTGAGGGAGAGTTTGCAATTTGTATTAGTTTATATCATGGTTATGAATTATTGCAGCAAATGGGAATGAGATCATTATATCTATTCCTTTGTGGAATTATGGATGGAACTAAAGGTAAAGTATATAAGATTTAAAGAAATAGTGATCTTGTTATTTTAGTTAAAGACATATACTGAACAATTTGGATTATTGAAAAACCTTCATTTCTTTTAAAAAGCAATGAAATAATTATATAACAAATGCATTATTTACTTGATTTTGTTACATTTCAGGAAGAAAGCTGTTCGTTAATACATAAGTGTATATGGAACTGGGAAAATGTTAGTTTTCATGCTAAATTGGAAGAATTTGCACTTCTTGCTAAAATTTAATTTTTCAATAAATACGTTATGCTGTGAGTTGCTGTGTAGCAATTAAGTTATTAATTATCTTTTCTTAATTTATGAAGGAATGACTCGGGCAAAAAATCAGGTTAGCCGAAATGAGGACTTCATGAAACTGTATAATCATCTGGAGAGCATGTTTGCACATACATGTGATGCTTCTGCAAGTGGTGCCTCTGCTCTCCCAAAAGGTCTGCTTTCTCTATAAATTTGCTGTTGTTTTTCTAAACATTAATTTTGAAATTTTGCTCCATTATTACACATGTCTATTTATAATTACTTATGTTTTTGTGTCAACAGAATGGCTAAAATGCTTTATGATTTTATTATTTAAGCTGTGATTAAATGAAGTGATATATATCCAACTACTTTATAAACTTTAAATATATAACAGATGACAGTAGATGTTATTGGCAGTGGAAATTCTCAGAATTGCCAAAAATTGGTTCAGAACTTAACTAAATGTAAATTTATTTTTCTTTTTTGCTTTGTTGTTGATTCTCAATGGAATTTTTGTAAAACCTCTAAGTTCTGTTTTGCAGTAAAGCTTACATGCTATTCAAATGCTGCTTACTGTTTAAATTAAAAGGAAAAAGTAAATTTTAATGTACCCATTATGAACAGAAAAGGTAACTTAAAATACATAATGTAGATGAATATGGAACAAATAGTTATTATTATGTTTTGCAGGAGATAAAGTTGAGAAATTTTTCTATAGTCATCCAAAGTTAAAGAAATTAGAAGAAGTTGTAGTTGAACATTTCAAGTCATGGAATGGTAAGTCATTCATTTGCTCCAAAACAAGACAAAGTTATTAAAAGAAGTAGAAATTCCCACTTGTTAGTTTGTACTAACACATCTCATGAGAAGGTAGGCTTTTAATTGTGCTGGATAATGAATCTATAAAAGCTCTTGAGAAATTTTAGGAAGGTGGGGGCAAAGGCAATATTGAGAATGTTAATAGAGGAAGCAGTAGAACAACATATAATGGTAGGGGAAAATAATGAAGGTGAAGAGGAAGTCATGGTGGGGTACTGTTTCAGATAGGTTGACTAGAGAAAACTTGTCTCTAGTTTATGCTTAAGCTGATACTTGATGGGAGTGAGGGAGTAAGCCTTGTGGTTTTCTGAGGGTTACTTGTAGAAGGAATTACAGGTTACTAGGTAGGAAGAATTACAGATCTAGAAGTTCTAAGGTACTAGTGTGCATAGCAACTACTATATAGGGTATCTTAGCAACCCGATACAGGGTTTCCAAGGCTGTAATAGTTACAGGAGCAGAAAGCGTCATCTTTCTCCCATCAAATGGCTGTTGGGTTTGAACTGCCAACCTTGTGATTAGCAGTTCAGTGCCACCAGGGCTCTTACGGAGTGAATGTTGTTGTCGTTAAATGCTATTGAGTCAGTTCCAACTCATAGCTACTCTGTGTAGGGTTTGCGAGAGTGTAAATCTTTGTGGGAGCAGAAAGTGACCAGTGGACTTGAACCACTGACCTTATGGTTTGCAGTCCAGTGTTTATCCTAGAGAGCCGCCGTGCTTCCTACTATGACATGACTGGGAATCAGTAAGCAGTCCAGTATTCCCAGGTGGTGCAAATAGTCAAGCACTCACATACTTGCCAAACAAGTAGCCTCTTGAATCTACCCACAGTCCCTTTGGAAGAAAGGTGTGAATGATCTACTTCCAAAAACTCAGCTACTGACAATGATTTGCTGGACCTGGGGGCTCAGGACCATAGTCTCAGAGAATACTATGGTCAACTGGCATAACATAGTCCACAAAGACAATGTTTTACATCCTACTTTAGTGAGCAGTATCTCGTATCTTATAAGCTCATGAGTGGCCATCTAAAGTGCAGCTAGCTAGCTATTGGCCTCTCCAAGTTTAGAAGAAAGAAGAGTGATAAAGATTGAAGATGCTTGGAATCGGTTAATCCAGTGGGCTAACCAAACATTTGAAGAACAGTCTCCGTGACTCTGAACTGGAACTAGATGGTGCATGGCTTCCACTACCAACTGTTCTGTAAGGGATCACATTGGTAAGTCCTGAATAAAGCAGCAGAATATGTTGGAGGAAAAAAAAAAAAAACAAAAAAAACAAAAAAGGACCTGGCTTATTGGTCAGAAAGAGACTGGAGGAACCTGAAACCATTCAGGTCTGGAAAGGTTCTCACCTTTGTGGCCTAACTTTCAGCAAAGCAGTTGTTGTTGTTGTTGTTAAGTGCCATCGAGTCGGATCCGACCCATAGCGACCCTAGATTGGTATAAAGGAAGGACAATAACACTAGTAAGTCTGATCAGTCATTCAAAATCCAAAGGGCAGCATTGACCTAAGAACAAAGTTGAGAAGGGATGGGAGGATAGGTGGAATGGAAATAGAACACACAGGGAGGAAGTGGGTTAACTGTTGTTGCCTGGAGGGGACTGCAATCATTGAAATGAAACAAAGTGTATCATTTGTTGAATATAAAACTGGTGATTTTGTCTGTAAACCTTTATTCAATACACAATAAAAAGCTTTTTTTAAAAAAGATAAAAAAACAAAAACTCAGCCTTTGGAAACATAGAAACACAGTTCTCTTCTGATACACATGGGATCTTCATCAGTTAGAATTGGTTTGGTTTAATTTAACAGGCCAGAGTGCCTAGAGCACAAGGGGAGGCTGGAAAGGTAGCCAGGAACTAGTCCTGTTCTTATAGTACATGCATACCAAGGTCAGGACTGTGAATTTTAAGCTATTTATTGTGATTTGGGTAAAAAGTCACAGAGGAAATTGGTTTTCCTTTCAACAGTTCATACAATACTTTGATTCGTGACACTGCAGTCCCCGTAAGGTAGCCTTTCTCTTCCCACTACCTCACTGTGTTTACTATTTCCATTCATCCTTTTTTCCTGTCTCTTCCTGTGTATGAGCTTTGTCCCTGGGCAAATGCTGTCCTTTTGATCTCATGTGGTTGATTGTTCTAAGGAATGTGCACCTTTCTAGTGTTGTGTTCACTTTATAGGCCTGTCTGTTGAGCTAAGAGAGTGAGTTCAGTTCCAGGCCTGACGGGTGTATAAGGACTATGGGCTATAGATTATAGGCATTTTTAAGTTCTCTGCTTTTGACTGTATTACAAGGTAACGGAAAATAACAGGAATCATCTTTGAGTCAAAAGGATTGGTTAGAAGCGATTCGTTAATTCATACTAGATTTCCTTAGAATTTTCTTTTATTACAGATGATGAGAGACAGGCAGCCAAGATTATTACAATGACAAGAGAAGGAGGAAGGTAGAGGGGACACCAGGAAAGGGTCAAGATATTTTAAAATTATTTTTTGAAAGAATTATTGTTGATTAGCATATAGTGTCAAGTTTTTCTTCTGAACTACTTCTTTATATGCTTTTAAAATTTTGTAACTAAAGTATTTTTTGTTTTATAGCTCACAACACCTCAGAAAAGAAATGTGATGAGACCAGAGTTATGATCTTCTCATCATTTCGAGATAGTGTTCAAGAAATTGCAGAAATGCTTTTTCAACATCAGCCAGTTATTAGAGTAATGACTTTTGTTGGCCATTCTTCAGGGAAAAGCATGAAGGGTTTTACCCAGAAGGAGCAACTGGAGGTAATTATTTTTGGAGGTGATGAAAATAAAAATAATATATTAGCTTTACATTTATAGCTTTTACATTTCTTGTTTTAACTGATTGGTCAGCCAATTGACTATTTCGTGAAGAAAATCTTAAGAGTAAACATGTAAATAAATATAGGTATATCTCCAAAGACTCAAAAAAGTGTCTTTGTGGTTTTGAAACTTTTAAAGTAATGTCAAGTGTAATGGGTACTCAGTCAGAAAGGATCTGGAATGTTGCTTATATTCTAATCCTGGCTCTAACAAATATACGTTTCTTTTTTTCTTGTGCCTGGATTTTCCTTATGATGACATTTTATAGGGCTGCTATGCATATTAAATGATATCCTACTGCAGAGCCTTCAATATAAATATACTAAGTCATTTTAATAATTTATTTTAAACTAATAGTTTATCTGCTGTTTTGGATTAATTAAACATATTAATTTAAAAGTATGATCACCGGGGAATATAAGCTAGCCGTATGCTTCTTATAAGAGGTCGTAAGTTTTCTAATGGCTATGTATATAATGTACATCATTGTTGTCATGTGCCGTGGAGTTGGTTCTGATTCATAGTGACCCTGCACAGGGTTTCCAAGACTGTATTTCTTTACGGGAGCAAAAAACCTCATCTTTCTCCCATGGATCTGCTGGTAGTTTCAAACTGTTGACCTTAAGGTTCGCAACCCAATTTATAACCACTATACTACCAGATAGTTGATCCAAGAAGAATGAAGTCCTTGACAACTTCAATCTTTTCTCCATTGATAAGAATGTTGTTTATTGGTCCAGTGGTGAGGATTTTTGTTTTCTTGACATTGAGATGCAATCCATACTGAAGGCTGTGTTCTTTGATCTTCATCAGTAAATGTTTCAAGTCCTCTTCACTTTCAGCAAGCAAGATTGTTAATGAGTCTTCTTCCAATCCTGACGCCACGTTTTTCTTCATAGAACCCAGCTTCTTGTATTATTTGCGCAGCATACATGTTGAATAAGTATGGTGAAAGAACACAACCTTGTCGCACACCTTTCCCAATTTTAAAACATTCAGTATACCCATGCTCTGTTCGAACAACAGCTTCTTTGTCTAGGTACAGATTTCTCAGAAGTACAATTAAGTGTTCTGTAATACTCATACTTCTCAGTGTTGTCCATAGCTTGTCATGATCCACACAATCGAAAGCCTTTGCATAGTCAATAAAGCATAGGTAAACATCCTTCTGATATTCTTTGCTTTCAGCCAAGATCCATCAGACATCAGCAGTGATATCTCTTGTTCCACGGCCTCTTCTGAATCCAGTTTGAACCTCTGGAAGTTCTCTGTCAATGTATGATTGTAGCCGTTTCTGTATTACCTTTAGCAAAACTTTACTCGCTTGAGATATCAAAGAGATTGTCTGATAATTTCCGCATTCTTTTGGGTCACCTCTCTTTGGAATGGGCACAAATATTGATCTCTTCCAATCAGTCGGCCAGATATCTTCTTGGATTAACTATCAACACTCGCGGAAGCAGCAGTCAAGAGATCACATGACGTATTGCATTGGGCATATCTGCTGCACAGGAACTTTTTAAAGTATCGAAGAGCAGAGATGTCAGCTTGAGGACTAAGGTGCGCCTGACCCAAGCCATGGTATTTTCAATAACTTCATATGGATGTGAACGCTGGACAGTGAATAAGGAAGATCGTAGAAGAATTGATACCTTTGAATTGTGGTGTTGGAGGATAATACTGAAATTGCCATGAACTGCCAAAAGAACCAGTAGATCTGTTTTGGAAGAAGTGCAGCCAGAGTGCTTCTTGGAGGCCAATATGGCTAAGCTTCGTCTCTCATACTTTGGACATATTGTCCAGAGGGAACAGTCGCTGGAGAAGGATGTCATGCTGGGTAAGGTGGAGGGTCAGTGAGAAAGAGGAAGACCCTTTACGAGATGGATTGGCCAGGTGGCATCATTGATGGACTCAAGTGTGGCAGCAGTAGTGAGGTTGGCCCAGGATCGGACATTGTTTCATTGTGCTGTGCATGGGGTCGCTATGAGTCGGTTCTGACTTGATGGCACCTGACAACAACAACACAACAACATCAATACTACCAGAGCTCCTTATATAATGTACATTGAAAGAAATTTTAGGCTATTGAGTTTTATAAACTGAATACAGGTTTTTGCAGATGAGCTATAAATCAGCAGTCAAGTAATCACTGACTGGTATGTCTTTACGGACTATTTTGACAGAACTTTTCATGATTCTGGAGACATTAGTAGATGATAATTCGTAATTACTTTCTCATTCGTTCAGTAGCTTTTATACTGGTCATCACTCCACTCAGAAGAGTCTGTTCAAGTTGACTGAATCCTAATCTGGAATCTGAATTGTTAGTACTTTTACCCAATGTCAAGTTTGATCATAGTTACTTTTAGCCATCTTGTGTGTGATTTTTACTACTCTTGCCACTTTTATATGAATGGAAAATAAAGTGGATTTTTGTCTTGGCATCAAGTTTTTTTTTTTTAATGTTTTAATATGAATTGTGTGATAGTTTACATGGGAGAACATTAGCTTTACATTCATCCTATCGTATATCGTTTCATTGCCACGGTTACAATCCCCTCCATGCATCATCAACCAACCAAAGTGTATACCTGCAAGCCTGCCCTTGGGTCCTCAGCACACAGTCCCTCTCCCTCTCTGGGTCTAGAGTCCCCAGCCATTCCATCTCTCTACGTCATCGTCTCTGCCTCCATCTCTGGCATCACTCCTTCTCTGGGTAGGGGTCTTGCTCTGCTCTTCCCCCTTGATGGTCCCAGGGACCTCTGCTCCAGGACTGCATAGTCAATCACTCCCCTCCTTTTGCTACAAAACATCTACCTTTACATTTCCATTCCTCACATTCAGTCTGGTAACAATTTTCACTACTGTACCATAAGAGACCTATCTGAGTCTCCTTCCATCAGCCCCGCCCAGACAGATTGGATACTACTCAGTGGAGAGTCTTACCTTCCTCCGCGCCCTGTGGATCTAGGCTCCCTCTTGAAAGCTGGGATCAACCTGTTTAATTTGAAATATCCATAGCACTCTACTTTGTCTTTGGCCAATTTTCATATTGCCTAAAGTCAGGTACTCATAAGAAACCTTACTGATTGTACATTATTCTATACTCATATCAATAATATTTTTGTGTGTGCCAAACTTTCTTTATAGGAGTATTTTATTCTACTCATTTCTTTCATTGTAGTTTTATTCTTAAATGAGCTTTTGTGAATATAATCAGATGAAATTAGTCATTTATTTGCAAATTGGAGACAAAGTTATAGAGGAAATGGGGTCCTGGTAGACCACTTCCATTTTAATGACTTTGGCTTTTATTCTGAGTGAGATGGGAGGAAGCCATTCTTGACAGTTTGGAGCAAAGGACAATCAGGATCTAATTTAGATATTAAAATAATAGTAGAAGTTTGGCTTTGAGTGTATAACTTTGACATACTCGTTAGATTCTTGTTGTTGTTAAGTGCTGTCTAGTTGGTTCCAACCCATAGTGACCTTGTATAGGGTTTCTGAGGAGCGACTGGTGAGCTTAAACCACCGACCTCCTTGTTTAAACCAATCTTGTAGTCCAATGCATTAACCCACAGCGCCATATAAGGAATCCTGTGGGAGGGTGGTGGTGGTTGTTATGACCCTGTGCTGGGTTTCCGAGGCTGTAAATATTTACGGGAGCAGAAAGCCTCATCTTTCTCCCGCGGAGCTGCTGGTAGTTTCGAACTGCTGACCTTGCGATTCACAGCCCAATTTGTAGCCACTACGCTATCAGAGCTCCTTGTGGGAGGGTAGTATATCCTTTTTAAGACATGGAAGATTTGTGTTGGCCTCTCTCTATATATCTGTTCATTTATACCCTTTATTCTTACAAGTATACTGTAATTGTAAGTATAGAACTTTCTATGATTTCTGTGAGCCATTCTACTCAAATATCAAACCCGAGGGAGTAATGAGTCAGTAGATCAGTAGAGAAAAGGGGAAGAGAGACTCTTAAACTTGTAACTGTTATTCTGAGAAGAGGGTAGGGTAAAGCCTTGATTTTGTAGCCAGCATGTCAGAAGTAGGAGTGGCTTGGGGAACCCAAACTTGAAGCTGGTATCTGAGGTCCTGAGAGGACTTGGCAGTCCTTTAATTTGTGGGATCTGATATTGCTCTAGTGGTTTGACTCAAAGGAAGAAGTACTACATTTACAGTTAGGAACAGAATTTAATGTCTTTGAATTGGTAGTCGAATAGACATTTAATTGAATTAGAATAGAATTGTTTCAGATTCATGTGATTCCACTCAATAGACAATTCTTTGAGTGGCACTGTTTTAAATATCAAATAGAGGTGTTGATTAAAATGTGGACTATACAGTTGGTCCCCATTATTTATGGATTTTTTAATTAGAAAATTTGCCTGTTCACTAAAATTGATCAGAGTTGACCGTGTATTTTGTGCAGACAGTGAAAAATTTGAGTTGCCTGATACGTACATTCTAAGCCAAGGTCAAGCAAGGTGACATATGCTCTTTTGTTTTAGCTTTCATGTTGTAAATAACTATTGTTTTTAGTGTTTAGTGTTGGAGTTCGGCCAAGGAAATATGAAGGGAGAACAGAGCTAGGGAATTGTGGCAATATTCAAGGGAATGGAATTTAAGCTAGGGTTTTAAAAACAAACCACCTAACCCACTTCTGTTGATTCAGTTCTGACTTAATAGAGACCCTTTATAGGGTTAACAAGGCTTTGAATCTTTTCTCCTGTGGTGTGACTGGTGAATTTAGGGCAAGCAATAAAATAAAATAAAATAAAATAAAAAATCGTAGGATGAGTGCATAATAAATCCAATCTGGGGTCAAAGAATTGTAAAAATTAGGGTGCCGGAAGGCTCTAAACATAGAGAAGGTAAGGTAGGTGTTGACTGAATACTGAATATATTAAGTTATAGAGAGTAGGGTGTAGTATATATTGTTTATTGTTTCCCTAACCCATTTAATGCTGTGACTTAGAATAGTACTTTTTTGTTTTGTTTTCCTTTTTATTCCTTTTCCTTGCATCCCTCTCTTAACAGTTCGTTGTAATGGTTATAAAACTTGGTATTATGGAAAAAAAATAGATTAGAAATTTAACTACCATGGCTACCTTAATTCTTGCCATTTTGTTCGGGCATTCTTTTATTTTAATAGGCATTTGTAAAGGCATTAGTCTAAAACATGACTGATTGCTCTGGAATTCCATCTTTCATTTTCAAGTTTGTTGTCAGTTGTTAACAGCTATTGACTGCCTGTTTCATAAATATATACACATGATATACCTACCTACTATTTCATTAGGAAGAATCAAATACTGGTTTATTTTATGTATGGTTTTATAGAAAACAAAATCATGGATTTAATGTGAAAAAATTATACTCAAAGAATATTTAGACTTGACTATCCTGCTAATGTATCAGAGAAAGAGTAAGTGATTAAATAACTTTTGGTTCATAAATGTTTTCTAAACTTTAGATGGATTTGCATCAATCTTGGGCAAATCAGTAACCGTTTAGTTTATGCATGTTAACTAAGAAGGAAATTGTTTGACTTTCCTGTTTTTTTACATCTCTAGCACCGTGGCCCAATTTTTTTCTTGATCTGGGTAAAAAAGGACATCTGTTTTGTTAAGCTCCATACAGGTAATACTAGGTCATTCTTCCTTGGCTTAATGTCATTATAGATTCCAAAAGGAAATAAATTATTCTTAACTTTTAATGATGATCATTGTTCCCCCCTGTACTATGAAGTTATGTGTATTAAAGGAAAATCCTTTGACCAGTTTTACTGAAAGTGTTTTATAAGGAAACTTATTTTGATAAGTTTTTTTTATGATCCTATTTTTAAGGTTGTTCTTTTAAACAACAGAACTAGTTGAAGGATTAAAATGATACATTTTTTGAATCAGATCTAAATTCACATACTGATAATTATTAGTTAGAATATAGGCATATAGTTTAACTTCTCAGATCCTCAGTTTCTTTATTTCTAATGAATTGAGGTGGTGATATTTACCTTATAGGGTCATTGGGTGTCGTAATTAATGTATAAAGCATTTGGTGTGGTGCCTGGCACATAGCATGCTATCATACGTAGTTATCATTTTTATAAGCCATTTAAACTTTTCACCTATTTAAATAGTTTTGTTTCACTCAGGAGTAGGATGTTTGAACTTTAAGGGCCCTTATGGTCTTTTGTGATGGGTCTATAACTTTGCTTTGTAATTTGATAGAGTTCATGCTTCTTTTTTGTGTATACTCACCTACCATTTTCTCTTGAAGTTTACTTTTTGTGTAGTAGGTTTGATAACTCCTTCATACCAGCCATTCTGTTCAGGCATTCTTTTATTTTAATCGGCATTCCTAAAGGCATTAGTCAAAAGCATGACGGATTCCTCTGGAATACCATCTTTTCATTTTTGCTCCAGTTCTCTGTCTTTCCATTGACATGATTTCATTTCAGTACTACTACCACTTCTTGGCCATACATAAACTTGCAGGGTTGGAGTTGACATACATAGGGAAACTGAGGGTCAGAGCAGTTGAGAACTAAGTTTATAAGGCTTTAGAAAGTTTTTCAAGATGCTTGATTGACTTTTTCTTTAACTCATTTTCATGCTATTGTAGTTTCATTAAACTGGTCAGAGTGAAATCCTGGAATGGCAATATAAAAGGTAAGATATGAGTTCTAGGAGTAATAAAGAATTTTTATTTTAGACACATATAAGTGTACATTTAGTTTTAGAATATAACCAATGGAAATATAATTACCTAGGTTGTTTGTCTGCACTTTGTCCTTTCTCTTGTTGTTGTTGTTATGTGCATCAAGTTGGTTTCAACTCACTGCAACACCATAGGGTTTCTGAGCAGTGACTGCTGGGTTTGAACTATCCAAATTGTGGTTAGTAGTCAAGTGCTTATCCTACAATGCCACACCAGTGTCTGCCCTTTCATTTTGTTGTTTTTGTTATTGTTAAGTGCCTTGAGTTGGTTCTGACCTATAGCAACTTGTATAGGGTTTCTAAGGAGTGGCTGGTAAGCTGGAACCGTCGACCTTGGGGTTCACATGGACCTTGCAATCCAGCACATTAACCCATAGTGCCACACTGGAGAAGTATATTAAAAGTACCATGGACTGCAAGAAAACAAACAAATCTGTGTTGGAAGAAGTACAGCCAGAATGTTCTTTAGTGGCCAGGATGATGAGATTTAGTTTCTCTTATTTCAGACACATTATCAGGAGGGACTAGTCACTGGAGAAGAATGTCACACTTGGTAAAGTGTTCTTGTTCTTGTTATGTGCTGTGGAGTCGGTTCCGACTCATAGCGACCCTGTACAGGATTTCCGAGGCTGTAAGTCTTATGGGAGCAGAAAGCCTCATCTTTCTCCCACGGAACACCTGGTAGTTTCGAACTGCTGACCTTGTGATTCGCAGCCCGATTTGTAACCACTACGCTACCAGAGCCCCTTTGGTAAAGTGTAGGGTCATTAAAAAAGAGGAGAACCCCTAAGGAGATAGACTGGCACAGTGTCAGCAGCAGTGGGCTCAAGCATAACGTTTATGAGGATGATGAAGGACCAGGCAATGTGTACTTCTGTTGTGCATAGGATTGCTGTGAGTGGGAACCAACTGGAGGGAACTGAACTACAATAATAACAAAAATCCCCAAACATCTAGGGCTTCTCATTCACATGTAAATTGTTAGTAAGTCCTTTTGGCATGCATACCAATTATTAAACAAAGCAGTTAGAAATGGCCTTTCCATTTTCCAATGATTCTTTTTTATTTATATTGCTATTTTGTGGGCTGGTTTATTCATTTGTATCCTTGATGCTGATTTTTAATCTAATTTCACCATTTTGGGGAGACTGAAAAAGTGCTTTGATTTGTAATTGCATTAGTTAATTTGATCATTTTTATTTTAGGTAGTGAAACAGTTTCGAGATGGTGGATATAACACATTGGTTTCTACCTGTGTTGGTGAAGAAGGCTTGGATATAGGGGAAGTTGATCTTATAATATGTTTTGATGCTCAGAAGAGCCCAGTTCGTCTTATACAGCGAATGGGTAGAACTGGCCGCAAACGTCAAGGCAGGATTGTAGTGATCCTTGCTGAAGGACGAGAAGAACGTGTAAGTAGACTTGTAGGAACATGATTTGACATTTGAAAAATATGGCCCAAAGACAAATATCAACCTTTAATTTTAGTATTTAAAGTCCAAACAGTTTGTTAGGTAATTGTGGTTTTTTTTTTTTTTTTTTATCTCCTTTCTGTTGGTTTCTAATTATTCTTGTAATTAGGTGGATTTTTGCCTAGTTTCAGTTTTACAATTTTTATCCATATGAAGAAACACATTTTAGTACTTTATTATTAATTCAAAGGCACCTAAATATAAAGAATAATATGTATTACCTTGAGTTCCTATTAGCTTGTACTTTTAAGACAGGTTTTTAAGCTATTATTGTTGCTTTTGAAAAACTACAGTATGCTAAGAATAGTTTTTGCATTTTGGAGGATTTGGAAATAAACAGAAGAAAGATTATGTGCCAGAGATACTGTGTGACCTGTTGTTATTATTGCTGAGTGCCAAAGAATTGATTCCCACTCTTAGTGGCCCTGTTTTAGAGAAGAAGCCTGTGGGTTTGAACCTTCTGTTTAAAACTGACCTTGTGGTCTAGTGCGTATCCCACAGTGCCGTACCACTCACTGTGTGATCTGTAAAGCCTAAAACTTGTTTTTTGCTCTTTACTGAAAAGTTCATTGATATTTATTCTAAGTGATTTTTAGTTGTTAAGTGCTGTGGAATCAGTTCGGCCTCAACAGCAACCCTGTATAGGATTTTCAGTGAGCGGGTGGTGAGTTTGAACCACTGACATTGCAGTTCAAATCGAACTTGCGGTCCATTGTTTATCCTATAGCACCACACAGTAAATATTGTTACTGTTCAGTGCCGTCGAGTTAGTTCTGACCCATAGCTACCCTGTATAGGGGTTTTTGAGGAATGGCTGGTGGGTTTGAACTATTCACCTTGTGGTCCAAACTGACTTTGCAGTCCAGTGCATTATCCTGAAGCGCCACACCAAGACTGCAATTATGTTGTTAAGTGTCATTAAGTCAGTTCCGACTCATAGGGACCCTCTGTAGGGTTTCCAAGGTGTGGTTGGTGACTTTGACCTGCCAACCTTGTTCAAACCAACCTTGTGATCCAGTGCTTATCCTACAGCACCAGGACTCCATTCTAAATGATAGGAGATTTGAATTATATTCATACCTTTCAACAATCTAGGATGACTATTGTTGTTAAGTGCTGTGGAGATGGTTCCATCTCATACCGACCCTGTATAGGGTTCTGAGGTGCAGCTGGTGGGTTTGAACCACCAATCATGTGGTTCGCAATCCATTGCTTATTCTACAGTGCCACACTATCCTAAATATGATAAACATAAAATTGTTTTCTGTTTACTACTCATAATGTTAACTAACTTTTATAACGTAGTAGAAATGTTTGAGTGGCCTAAAACATAATGTCTTGTTAAAGACGTTATTTGCTGTGATATTTTTAACAAATAGACTTAGAATTTTTATTTTCTTTAAAAAAAAATCCTCCTGAAAAATGAATTTTTTTCCCTCATACTTTTCTTGTAGTTATAGTTCAATGTAACAGCCAGTTTATCCATAAAAGGACACCAATAAATGACATTGTCACCAGCTTGTAACAGACCATGTACATTTAATGAGGGGAATTAAGTTCTACTTAATTGTGTTAATTTAGACAAGTCTCTCTATTCAGGTATTAGTTTTCTTATTTGTAAGATAATAGTGATGGCCCGTAAGGTGCTCTGGTAGCATAGAGGTTATGAATCAGGCTGCGAACCTCACAGTCAGCAGTTTGAAACTACCAGCTTTTCCGTGGGAGAAAGATGAGGCTTTCTGCTCCCATAAAGATTTGCAGCCTAGGAAACCCTGTACAGGGTCGCTATGAGTCGGAACCGACTGCACAGAACATCACAACAACCCTGATGGCCCATATTTAATGAGCAGTTGCTCTGTATTGTGCTAGGTTCTAAGTGCTTTATATACAAGATCTTGAATTCTGTCAAAAATTCTGTCCGGGGGAGTAATGCTTTCCTTACTGCGTATACATTAGAAAACTGAAGCGCAGAGAGATGAAGTAAAAAGGTATTTCTTACAAAATAGTATTTACAAAGTATTTTATAAAAACAACACGATATGAAATAAACTGATTTATTTTTGCAATATATTTACTAAGGTAGCTTATGTCATAATGTATTTTGAAAAGAGTTCATCAAATGGAATTACTGATATGCTTTAAAATTCAGTACAGCAGAAATTCTGTTTTCTAAGTATTTAAGTAGATCAGGGTTAAGGTTATGTTTAGGAGAAACCCATATTAATATAATATTGCTTGTTATGGTTAAATTATTATCATGGAAATAATATAATTTAACATTTTATATTTATTTTTGCAGACATATAATCAAAGTCAGTCCAACAAAAGAAGTATTTATAGAGCTATTTCAGGTAACAGGCAAGTCCTTCATTTTCACCAAGGAAGTCCACGAATGGTTCCTGAAGGAATTACTCCAGAATTACACAAAATGTTCATCACACATGGTATCTATGAACCAGAGAAATCTTCTCGTAACTTGCAGCGTAAGTCGTGTATCTTTTCTTATAGCCTATACCATCCAGATGATTCTGACTCAAAGCAGCCCTATATAGGGTTCAGAGACTAAATCTGTGTGGGTGCAGGCAGCCTCATCTTTCACCCATGGAGCCACTGGTGGGTTTAAACTATCGACTGTAATAGTTTGCATTGTTAAATATTTCCCACCTGTTCTTAGTAGATGGTCATATCTTCATGTAGTATTTCTTAAAAAAAAAAAAAAAATTAATGTATGTTCTAGTATGCTATGAATATTTTCTTTGGAATGCACCAAAAGATTATTCATCTGGCAAAGGAAAGGATACATTGGCAGTATAGAGAGTGATAGAAACTCAGTGTTGGACAAAATTTTAATTATCCTACTAACTCAGAAAATGTAGGAAACCGATAGTTTCATTATCAAATAAGCATTAATCATTATGTGCATTATAAGCAAATTTGCTATGGCTGAAAGAAATTCTACTCTATTTACACCCCAGAGCAGTTGTAATCTTTACATTCATGTTGTCAAGAATAATCTGAACTTAAAACTGATTAGAATACCTAAAAGGAGTTCTAGAACTTGCCCAGTGAAATAGGCTTCTTATGGAACCTTTCTAGTATATAGGGCCTTAGGTGGAATCCTGAACCCCATTCGGAACCTTCTGAGGTGGGACATTCCCACTTCAAAGGATAAGCAGACCAGCTGGGAGCAGCCAGAGAAACAGAAGATACTTTTTGAAAGAAAGACCAGCAAGAAAAATTTAAAACAAAAATGGCAGTCTGATTGGCTGCTACAAGAACAAGCAACTTGTTCACTGGGGAACCATCAAGGCAAGCAATCAAGTCCCTTCAGGACAAACCCCCCTCCAAGACTGAAGCTCAAAGGGAACATACGAGCAGGCATGTAAGCTTGCTGGTGACCACGTTGGTCTACTGGTGAGTGGAAGAGGAAGAAAGGCAGCAATGAAGAAGCGGCCTGAGTTTGACCATGTTCCATAGACTTCCGTCAGCCTGGAGATGAAGCAGAGAAAAGGAAAGACTGGTTGGTCCAAAAAGTGATGAGACCTGGGTACTCCTGAGCCCATGGACGAACACAAACCACGGAAGGCTACAGCTGAGAGTGAAGCATCCACCTGATACAAAGTGAGGGGAAATGCACAAGAACACCCAAACTTGTAAATAGTACCCATTCAACCTAGCTTCGATGACTTGATGATCAGAACTCGACTAGAGGAAGATAAAATAATAATTTTTTTTGATAAAGGAAAAAAGTGTAAATTGCTACAATTTGATGAAGTTGCCCTATACTTATGGATGTAGTAGCTCGAACCGAGAGGGAAGGAGTCTTCACATCAAGTATCAATCTTATCCCCTCTGTATACAGGCTGATAGGGACAGGCAACTTAGACATTGGCTACCTAAAATGGGGGGTTCTATAAAGGCATGAAGTAACTGGCTTAAACTTAAAAGTTTTCAAGAGGGAGTTTAGTTTAAAAGTGTGCAGGGGAAAGTAGAGTCCCCACTGAATGTTTTTCATCTTGTCTAGACGGGTCTGGTGAAAGGAGATAGGGATAAGATTCTTATGATTCAATAGTGAATAATTGTTATTGTGACTATTTGCGACTGTCACAAGTGTAAACGTAGAATATTTGGAACAAAAACAGGGGAGCAATTAATCTTACATTTTAGGAACAGAGGACCCTAGGACCATCAAGGAAGAAAAGCATGAGTGGAATTTGGGACCCTATTCAGAGGCCAGGGAATGAGAGATATCATTGCTGATATCTGATGGATCTTGGCTGAAAGCAGAGAATATCAGAAAGATGTTTACCTATGCTTTATTGACTACGTGAAGGCTTTCGATTGTGTGGATCATGACAAGCTATGGACAACATTGAGAAGTATGAGTATTCCAGAACACTTAATTGTACTTCTGAGAAATCTGTACCTGGACCAAGAAGCAGTTGTTCGAACAGAGCATGGGAACACTGAATGTTTTAAAATTGGGAAAGGTGTGCGACAAGGTTGTGTTCTTTCACCATACTTATTCAATCTGTATGCTGAGCAAATAATACGAGAAGCTGGGTTCTATGAAGAAAAACGTGGCATCAGGATTGGAGGAAGACTCATTAACAACCTGCGATATGCAGATGATACAACCTTGCTTGCTGAAAGTGAAGAGGACTTGAAACATTTACTGATGAAGATCAAAGAACACAGCCTTCGGTATGGGTTGCAGCTCAATGTCAGAAAAACAAAAATCCTCACCACTGGACCAATAAACAACATTCTTATCAATGGAGAAAAGATTGAAGTTGTCAAGGACTTCATTCTTCTTGGATCAACTGTCAACACTCGTGGAAGCAGCAGTCAAGAAAGAGATCAGACGACATATTGCATTGGGCAAATCTGCTGCACAGGAACTTTTTAAAGTGTTGAAGAGCAGAGATGTCAGCTCGAGGACAAAGGTGTGCCTGACCCAAGCCATGGTATTTTCAATAACCTCATATGGATGTGAAAGCTGGACAGTGAATGAGGAAGATCGTAGAAGAATTGATGCCTTTGAGTTGTGGTATTGGAGGAGAATACTGAAAGTGCCATAGACTGCCAAAAGAACCAATAGATCTATTTTGGAAGAAGTGCAGCCAGAGTGCTCCTTGGAGGCCAGGATGGCTAAGCTTTGTCTCTCATACTTTGGACATATTGTCAGGAAAGAACAGTCGCTGGAGAAGGATGTCATGCTGGTTAAGATGGAGGGTCAGAGAAAAAGAGGAGGACCCCCAATAAGATGGATCAGCCAGGTGACATCACTGATGGTATCAAGTGTGGCGGCAGTAGTGAGGTTGACCCAGGATCGGACATTGTTTCGTTCTGCTGTGCATGAGGTTTCTATGAGTCAGTTCCGACTCGATGGCACCTGACAACAACAACAACAACAACAACATCCAGAGAAGCAGTGACACCAGAGAGGAAGGCAGAGATGAGGACATGGAGAGATAGAACAGCTGAGGACTTTATACTCATGAAAAGAGAAAGGCTGTGTGCTGACGTCCTAGAGGCAGGCTTGCAAAATGTGCCCTTTGGTTGTTTAAATGATTATATATTCCTGAGTGTTTTTATGTACATCCCCCCAAAACAACAACAGCAAACCCAGAGGGAACAGAAGCAAATACTGTTGAATGATGATGCGCAGAGGAGATTGTAATGATTGCAATGATTACACAATGAGTGTAAAACTGATATTCTCCATGTACTCTCACTTAATTCACAATAAAAACTCAGAAAAAAAAAGAAAAGAAAAATAGGAACTTGTCCTCATGTTAGAGATCAGCATCATTTGCTATATTTCATATTTCATCCCAAATTTATCTGGTAATTGAGTTCACCATATGTATTAGCAATTGCTTTAACCCAGAAGAATAATAAAACTCTGATTTCTATGACAAGTGGTTGTATTTCTTAGAAAAGTATCTCAGCTAGACTTCTATGATTACAGGGAGATAGACAATCTTCCTTCATGTGTACATTTCTCTGAATTGCCCTGGAGGCACCTAAGAACAAATCCTGTGAGGCAGTTCTATTCTGTAACGTGGTGTTACATCCACTTGTGGGCACTCAACAACACCCTACACATGCTAGCGTAAAGGAAGGTTTTACAAACATTAGATACCTCTTGAAAATACTCTAAGAAAGGGAGTGGGAAAAGTTTGTTTCCCTTATTGCAAAAGGAGACTTGTTGAAGCCGCTTATTTTACAGATGAAGAAACAAATGCCAAAAACCCATTTTTATTTAAGCTTCATAGCGATTTTTTTTCCCCTTTTCTACTCTACTGTTGCCTGAGTCAACCATCAGCATTCATAGAAGCAGAAGTCAAGAAATCAAATGACATATTGCATTGGGCAAATCTGCTGCACAAGACCTCTTTAAAAAAAAAATATTTTTTTTAAGTTTAAGTTTTTATTGTGAACTGAGTGATAGTTTACATGGGAGAACATCAGCTTTACACCACCATTTCATTGCAGTGATTACAATCTCCTCTGTTCATCATCATTCAAAAGTATTTGCTTTCATTCCCTCTGTTTTATTTTGTTTGTTTGTTTTTTTGGGGGGATGTACACAAAAACACTCAGGAATATATAATAATTTAAACAACCCAGGCACACCAGCGCTCAGTCCCTCTTTTTCCATCGGTCTTGAGTCCTCAGCTTCTCCTTCTTTCCATGTCCACATCTCAGCTTCCATCTCTGGTGTTGCTGCTTCTCTGGATAGGGTCCTGCATTCTGCTTGTGCTCTTCTCCCTTGGTGGTCCTAGGGTCCTCTATTTCTGTACTGTAAGAATAACTACTCCCCCATTTTTGTTACAGAACTTCTACCTTTACAGTTGTGACAGTCGCTATTTGTCATGGTAGCAATTACTCACTATTGAATCATAAGCATCTTATCCCCATCTCTTTTCACCAGATCCATCTAGACAAGATGAAGACTATAAAGTGGGGACTCTACCTTCTCCCGCACACTTTTAAACTAAACTCCCTCTTTAAACCTTGTTAGACAGTCTTTGTGCCTTATGTTGTTGTTGTTGTTATGTGCTGTGGAGTCGTTTCTGACTCATAGCGATCTTGTATAGGGTTTCCGAGGCTGTAAATCTTTACGGAAGCAGAAAGCCTCCTCTTTCTCCTATGGAACAGCTGGTAGTTTCGAACTGCTGACCTTGTGGTTCACAGCCTGATTTGTAATCACTATGCTACCAGAGCTCCTTTATAGCCTCCTCATTTTAGGTAGCCAAAGTCTAAGTTGCCCATCCCTATCAACCCTATATACAGAGGAGATAGCATTGATACTTGATGTGAAGATTCCTTCCCTCTCACTTGGTGTTTTGAGCTACTACATCCGTGAGTATAGGTCAAGTTCATCAAATTGTAGCAATTTACACTTATATCCTTTATCAAAAAAAATTTTTTTAATCTTCCTCTAGTTGAGTTCTGATTATCAAGCCATCAAGGCTAGGTCAAATGGGTATTATCTTCAAGTTTAGGTGTTCTTGTGCATGTCCTCTCACCTCATATCAGTTGATGCTTCAATCTTAGCTCTAGCCTTCCATGGCTTGTCTTTGTCCATGGGCTCAGGAGTCCCCAGGTTTCATTTTGGACCAACCAGCCATTCTCCTTTTCTCACTCATCTCCAGGTCAACGGGAGTCTAAGGAACATGGTTGAACTCAGGTCGTTTATTCATTGCTGCCTTTTCCCCTCTTCCACTCACCAGTAGACCATCATGGTTGCCAGCCAGCTTACATGCCTGCACATGTGTTCCTCCCTTTGTTTCCATCTTGGAGTGGTGCTCAAGACCTCTTTAAAATGTTGAAAAACAAAGATGTCAGTTTGAGGATGAGGTTATTTTCAGTAACCTCATATGTATGCAAAAGTTGGGCAGTGAATAACGAAGACCGTAGAAGACTTGATGCATTTAGTTATGGTGTTGGAGAATATTGAAGGTACCATAGACTGCCAAAAGAACAAACAGATCTGTCTTGGAAGAAGTACAGCCAGAATGTTCCCTAGAAGCTAGATGGTCAGACTTTCTTTCATACTTCGGGCATATTGTCAGGAGGGACCAGTCACTTGAGAAGGATGTCATGTTGGTAAAGTGGAGGGTTGAAGAAAAAGAGGAAGATCCCTGAGATGGATTGGCACAGTGGCAGCATCCATGGACTCCAACATAGCAACGATTGTGAGGTTGGCCCAGGATTGGGCAGTGCTTCATTCTTTTGTGCATAGAGTCGCTATGAGTCAGCACTGACTCATTGGCACCTAACAACAACACTGTAATATATATTGAGCCAGAGTTTCTGCTTTATACTACTTATTTTTTTTTAGCTTGGTGATTATTTTTTATGGATATTATGAAAGCCAAGAAAGATTAAGTTGCTATACATTAAAAAAAATATCTGCTATTCTGTTTTGTTTTGTTTTTTTAAAGCTGTAGGTCTTTTCCTTCCACTCTGTTTTCCTCCCTATTTGTTTAAATCTTAAGCTAAACCTTTTTTGCTTGGCATTTTGTTTTCCTTAAGTCTTAGATAACCATTCAGTACTGTTATAATAGAATCATGATAACTGAAAAGGAGAGAGTACAAAAGAAGTCAGGACTGAGAGCTACTTGGCTCTGTTCCTTTAATGAACTCATCACCACAAGTTAGCTCCTAGACTGAAGAGCACACATTACTTCCAAAGAAGTGAGAGAAACTTAGGAGATTTTTGTAAGCAGAAGTAGTTTTATATGGAAAAGATAAAGAATCAGTGCTTTACTAGACATTAGTAAATAAACAGGTAAAGGTTTTGAAATGATAATGGGTTTTTTGTGTGTTTGCCTTTGTAGGTTTTTAAAAAAAAATTTTGTAATTTCTTTTCTTTTTTTAACTGTTAGGAATGAAGCAATGCAACTCAAAGAAAGATTGGCTCTTATCAGTAGAAGAATTTAAATTATGGAACAGACTTTATAGGTTAAGAGACAGTGATGAAATTAAGGAGATAACATTGCCTCAAACAAAATTTCTATCTTTACAAAATGAAGAACTTAGACCAGTAAGTTGAATACATTTTATAATGATTATTGCAGTAACTTTTGGAATATAGAGAAGTTTGAATGGGAATATCAATTTACTTAAAAAATTAAGACTGGGAGTGGTTTAAAAAATAATCATTTAAGTTTCTAAAATGACCAATTATTTATTACATATGTGTTTTTATATGATTGTGATATTTTTCCATAAATTCTGCTTTTTTTTTATACTTTCTATAAAGTAAGACTTAACAGCCTTGTTGTCACTATACGACTCTACACTGTACTATAGTTTGCCTAGTTGTTTCTCTGATGTGTTCTAGGATTTTCTTCAGTATTTTACTAATATAAATAGTGTTATCATGAGCATCTTTGCTGTTTTTTTTTCATCTTTTTTACATTATATTGTTTGTAACTGCTGTAGAATTGGTTCCAACTCATAGCATATCTGTATAGGGTTTTCAAGTAGTGACTGGTAGATTTGAACTGACAACCTTTGGGTTAGCAGTCCAGTGCTTAATCTACAGCTTCAACCAGGATTAAATTGGATGTTATTTTGTTTATTATGAAGAAATTATTGGTGAACTTAATGAAAATCTTGAGAATTGATGAAGCATTGTATACATGCCTGGATCTTTGGAAAAACAATCTCAGGAAAGATTTCCTTTAGAAGATTTATGGATTTGAAATATATCATTATCTGAATTAGTATTCCATTTACTAACAGGTAATATAAGGAGTGGTATCAGGCATGAAGAGTTGGTACCAGGATCACTGAGAAGTTATGTAGACTTTTTTTATTTCAATCCCTCCCTGCAACAACATTTATCCTACTTCTTCCCTGTGGCTCCCTATTTACATCTTATATTTCACAAATGAAGAAGGCAAAAATACTTAATCTACACTTACAAAAGAGAAAATATATATTCATTTAAATGTCCAAAGAGCCATTATGTAAGCCAGCCTCCTTCCTACAGGCACACAACCCTTCACAGGCCTTGAGCCTAGAACCTACAACTGCTCTGTCTCCATGCCTCTGTCACCGTCTTTGTTGTCACCACTTTTTTCAGTAGGGATCTCATACTCCACTCATGTTCTTCCTTCTTGATGGTTCTAGGATAGTATGTATCTAAAATCATGCATTTCTGTTAGATTGTAGGGTATACATCTAGCAAAATAGTAGATTTGAAGCCCACCATTTTCTTAAATAACATGGAGTTACATAAGCAGTAGTATGCTCAAATTGTAATACATATAAATGGTTTTAAGATTGTCCTTAAAAGCACAGCTTTAGATTTTATTAAATTGTTTTCGCTTTTCTCCTGAGATTTTAGTTGAAAGTACCTAAATGAATTCAGATTATTTAGATTATGTTTAGGCTGATTATCATATTTGTGTGTATGTTTATGTTTATATTTTAATCCACTTTTGAAATCTAAGTCTGTGTATGTTTTTTTAATTATTTTTCAAATCTTTAATCAAGACTCAAGAACCAACCACTGGAATTCATCAGCTGTCTTTTTCTGAATGGAGAGTATGGCAGGATCATCCTCTTCCTACCCATCAAGTGGACCATTCAGATCGATGCCACCATTTTATAAATATTATGCAAATGATAGAAGGAATGAGACATGAAGAGGTGGGGTTTTATTTTAACTTTTTCTTGCTAGTATTATGATGAAAGTAGAATTGTTGTTGTTGTTGTTAACTGCCATTGAGTCGATTCTTGACCCATAGTGACCCTGTATAGGGTTTCCGAGGATCAGCTGATTAGCTTGAACTGCCAACCTCGCAGTTCAATCGGCTTTGCAGTCTGGTGCATTAACCCACAGCGCCATACCAGGACTCTGAAAGTAGAATAGTTAATCTTTATTCTTCTTAATTTGAAGTCATTATTATGATAAATAATTGTGGATAAGAATATTTTATTAGACAGCTCCTTGTAATCTCCATAAGGAGCTCATTTTGTGCATTAGGACTTAAAGTAGAGTTAATTAATTAGAAGATGTCCTCTATAAATAATGTTAATCCAGCTAGTGTAGAACTTAAATATACTTTATGATTTAGGAAAGTGTTAATTTGTGATTTTGATTAGTTTGGATTTTTTGAAATCATATAATTCATTTGATGGCTTTCTTGTATTTTGGTGGTAGTATAGAGAATTATTGATTGATTACTCTTCCTTGAGAGAGTAAGAATAGTGAATCTGTTCTAAATGTGAAATAAAAAATATCAGGATTAGAATCCCAAGTGTATCTACATAACCTCTCTGTAAAATATTTCATATATAAAATGGAGATAATTATAACTGCTTTCAAGGATTGTTGTGAGAATTAGAGAACAGTAAGTAACTGATACATAAATACAAGTTAATAAATAATTGGTGTGAATCCCAGCAAAACCTTTGCCATCCCATTTTGTTGGTAAGTATCGTCAAGTTGATTCTGACTCATAGTGACCCTCTATAGGGTTTTCAAGGAGTGGCTGCTGAGTTTGAACCACTGACCTTGCTTAGATTGGCAGTTCACAACCGCCAGCTGTTCATTGGAAACTATACAGGGTCAATCTGAGTGGGAATTGTCTTGATGGTGCTTAGCAACAACAGCAGAGGGATACTGAGGAATCAAGACAGGCTAAGAGAAAAGGCAGTGCGATTTTAGCTACCAATTTGGAGATAATTAAAATTCATAAAGTTACTGATTGGGCATATTATTAGAAATAGAAGTATATTTCAAGATATATCCTAGGAGGTATATTGTTACCATTATTTCTGAGGTTTCAAATGCTGCTTTTAGTTTATTATCATCTAGAGAATAAGTTTAGCAAATATCTGAGTTAGAATCAACTCCATGGCTGTTTGTTTGGTTTTTTGATTTTTATGTATTTTTTCATTATTTGTTGTTCTTGTTAAATACCATCAAGTTGGTTCCAACTTAGAGTGACCTTGTATCAGGTTTCTGAGAAGTGGCTAGTGAGTTTGAACCACAGACCTTGCAGTTAGCAGTCCAGTGGTTATCCTATAGCACCATACTAGAACTCCTGTAGTAAGTACTAGGGATACAAAAATACTAAATTAAAAGTAACTTACAAGGGCACAGGGCTTGATGACGGATTAGGGAGAAGCATGGTGCAGACCTCCAACAGTAATAATACAGAATACCAGACGAAGCACTTTCAGGGGACAGTCCCAGAACTCTCAACTATATAGAAAGGGATATTTAGAAGGATTGAAGGCTTACTGCTAGTGGGATTCGTAGCAGAAGCAAGAAAGGTGATGTTTTCTGATTTGCGGCTGCCAGTGGGTTCCGGAGCGGCCATCTTGGGCGTGACGGAGCAGAAGCAGAATCTGAGGAGTGCTCCCACCACAGAAGTCTGACAGATTGTCAGAGATAATGGTGTGAAAATTTTTTCCTGTTCATTGGTCTCTCACTGTCTGCACACCTCCACTCTGGTGACTAGAGGGAGGTGCCTGAGCAAGTGGAAACCTCCCCACTCCCGGAGGGTTCTCCTACGCATGTGCACAGATTTGCTCAGCAAGACCACAGCACGCAGAATCTGAGAAGGAGGAGGAATCAACAGAAACTACTTTAAACAGAACAATCTTCCAGCGCTGCTGCAGCTAGCTGAGTGAGGGGTGTTAAAGTCATACTCATATTGCTGGGGTTTTTTTGTTTTGTTTTGTTTTTTTTGCGATTATAAATTGTTGTATACAATCTGGGTTTTGTTTTGTTTTGTTTTGTTTTTGCTGTTGTGGTTTTGTTTTTGATTTTTTGGTTCCCCTTTTACCATGGGGGTGCTTTTTCTCTCCCTATGTTACCCAAGAAGGAGCTCTGGTAGTGTAGTGGTTACGAATTGGGCTGTGAACCACAAGGTCAGCAGTTCGAAACTACCAACTGTTCCGTGGGAGAAAGATGAGGCTTTCTG